TTTCCTGGAGAAGTTGGCATAACAAAATGTACCCTTAATTGTGGAATGTTGAGGGTAAATAACTGAGACCCCGTTGTTATGCTCCATCTTGTCTCTTCTCAAGCATGGAGGTAACTAGTAGCATTCTTTTCTGTAAGGTGGGGTGACTGGTTGTGCAGTGTTATGTCTCCTCTGTCATCAGACCAGAGAAATATATTCCAATCTACCATTCCAAATTACATTATATTGTACTATAGATTGCATTACATTACAATCACTATTCTAATCTACTATTCAAAATAAGAAATACAGTAAAAAATACAATAAAATAAGGAGGATGTATAGCCCTTCTTGGTGAGAATACAAATGTAAGGACTGGATGAGATTAGCATATGTAGTGAGAAAAATTTCCAATAGAATTTTTTTTCAATTTGGCATAGCACTGAAGAAACACCCCCCTCACCTATGAAATATTGTCTGAGGAAAAACATCTTACAAAGCATGTCAGCAATTCCAAGTGTACAGAGTGAAAACTTCTGAAGATGTTTTTATTTTTTCCAACGGAAAAACGGACATTTTGGGGAACACAATATTTTCAAGATTTTGTTTAGATTTAAATCATTTCAGCAATATTTAATATGCTATGCATTTACTGACAATACATCATTAGAGTTCAGTTGCTCTGATGCTACCCACCTTCATATCCAGACCACACGAAACAAGACATTGAGGTCTTTGGGGCCGAAACACAGCAGAGGTACAAATATTTGAGTGTCTACTCAGGCAGCGGCTTAACTTCTTGCTTTCCAAGTCAATTATCTTTATGGCTCCAGAATCATCTGCAACAGCTAAAAGACCGTCTGTTTCATTTACTGAAAGATAATTGATCTCCTCTTCATTCACATGAAAACATTCAACTGGCTCCTTGAGACATCTGATATCCAGCACACTAACTGTTTCCCCATGAGAAGCATATAGTCTTCTGGGGCAGATAGGAGAGAATATGACACAAGTAACGTCATCTGCTTTCTGAAGCCATGTCTGTTCTATTCGACTCCCTTCCTCATTCCAGATGGTCAGTTCTCCTCCTTCTGCTCCTGAAACCACCAGACCATCTTTGCTCACATTCAAACATAATATTGAAGAGGAGTGTCCATTGGTCCACCTCTCAGCCATAATTTTTCAAGATCAACTAAAAATAAATGAAAAATAAAAAATTAGAAAAATAGATAAACCAAACACTGAATTAATGAGGCACAAGCTGTTCCTGATACAGCTCCAGAAATACTGCAGGGAGCGGACATAATATGTTCAGTTTGAGATGCTACTTTCCCCAAGATACAGGGCACAGTACCCAAAAATGTAAAAATCATACACTCCCATTATAATGACATATTGTAGTGATACTTAAGAGAAACACTATTAGAAAGGATTTCTCTTGTAATTATGAAATAATTCTCTGTCATACATCAATGACTAAGTGGATGCTAGTTTCTTAAGTTCATTAAATCACACTGACTTAATTTGATACTATTTATTTACATTTTTATCCTGGCCTTCCTCCAAGGAGCCCAGAGCAGCATATATTGTTCTCTCCTCAACTATTTCATTCTCACAAAAATCCTGTTAAATAGATTGGACTGAGAGAGAGTAACAAGCTGGAGGAGATCAGGCAACTGAGATTCACGTCAGAGTGGGACCTCGATATGGGGCCTAACGACTAGATACGGATTAACAAGGAATAGCAAACCATTAACACTCGGCGTTAGGAAAGCACTGGTGAAAGGACGTGTGCGCAAGGGCTAGGGGAGGGCGGTTAGGAGACAGAGAACGTTAAGAGCACATGGAAATTCCTTGAGAACATGAAGACGGCTATTAAAACAAAACCTACTTCCGTGGCCACACCGAAATTCTAAACGTGTTTACTCAAACGTAAACCCAGCTGACTCCATAAGACTCGCTCAAAACATAACTGCAGTGCTCGCCATAGGGCCAAACAGTCCCGCTGCCAGTAAAACCACAGAAGAAACTCAAATTACCTTTAAATAGAGTCAGAACTCCAGCAGCCTCTCTATAGAAAACCTCCTTTTCCGGCGAAGAAAATTAACGTCATCCGGAGGTCACTTTCCCTTCCCTCTCCACTCTATGCATGAACAGGTGCACTTTTGCGCATGTATTTAGAGAGGCACCCGGACAGGTCTGCCCTCGCTCAATATGGCTGGTTCGCCTTCAGGGCCTAGTTCCGCTGTCAAAAGAATTAGAAGTCAAGAACAATAGCCCTGAGAAGTGAGGGGTGTTCTCGGGAATCCCGTTTATTCTCATCGCTGCCCCAGCCACGAAGCGAGGGCGAGAGGGAACGCTCCGCCCCATCTGGCGAGGCGGAGTACCGCGGATGACAGCATTCGTTTCCGCCCGCTCTTGCCGGCAAAGAAGGGAAATCGTCGAGCGCTTGGCGCTGCCCTTCTTTTCTAGCTGACGGCACCACCCGGGTCGTTGGTTGGCTGGTGGGCTGGCCCCACCTTTTGCCTTTGCCAGGGCCGGGGCGGTCAGTTCGGAAGGGGCGCGCACGCACGGACGGCGCAGGGTCGGTGGTCGCCTGAGGCGATGGCGGCTGCCGGCGGCGGGGCGCTGGGTTCGGCGGCCGGGGCGGGGGGCTGGCGCCTTCCCGGCCGAGTGCTGGAATTCGTCTTCGCCTATCTCGACTTGCGCGAACTGCGGAGCTGCGCGCTGGTGTGTAAGATGTGGTACCGCGTCCTGCACGGCGACGAGAACAGCGAGGTGTGGCGCAGCCTGGCCGCCCGCAGCCTGGCCGAGGAAGCGCTGCGCACCGACATCCTCTGCAACGTGCCCACCTACAAGGGCAAGGTCAGGCTGGGCGAGCGGACCCCTCTCTTCTCTCACACTCTCCGTTCCCGTCCTCTGCAGATGGGGCGGGGGGGGGGGGGGGGGGGGGGGCAACTGCTCGGCCGGACGAAAAGGCCCCTCTTCGCGGGCTTCATTTGGGGATGTACTAAAAGGAGTACATCCCCTTCATTTGTGCTGGGGCTGTTTGCGCGCTGTACGCCCTTTGGTTTAAATCTAGAGGGCTGAAATAATTCAGGAGGGATGAGAGAGGCGGTTCTTCACAGGCTTGAAGGCACTGATCGTGTTTTATTGCACATCCTGCATCTCTTTCTTGGTTACCCCGTGTGCACTCATAAACATTCTGTGGCGCCTTAAAGAGTAACATTTCTTTCAGCATGAGCTTTCATGAAGTGAGCTAGCAAAAGCTCATATTGAAATAAGTGTTGCTGGTCTTTAAGGTGCCACTGGATATTTGTTTTATTTTGCTATGACATATTAACACAGCTGCCTCTTTGTAACCACTGTGCAGTGTGTGTATGTGTACCCCCAGCCCACCTTCTAGCTGTGACCCCAAATACCTTATGTTTTGGGGACTGTGATGTTCAGCTTAGATTTTCAGCCACTCTGTTATTGTAACAAATAAAGACTGATTGATTGATTACGCTCAGGTGGATGTACTATTAACTGACGCACTGTCCTGAATGCTGGGCAGAGGTGTCACATCAGGTATTCATATTCATTCGCCTACTTAAAACTTTCATTAGCCACTGCTCAGGGCGGCTTACAACATAAATACAATATAAATACATTTAAAAAGCCAAAATTTAAAAATCACAGTTCAGGACTGCTAGTAAACTTAACCAAATGCAGTACTAAATAAAACCATCTTCACCTGTCTCCTGAAAATTGAAAGTGAGGTGGCCAGCCCTGACCTGGATAGCCCAGGCAAGCCTGATCTTGTCAGATCTCAGATGCTAAGTAGAGTCAACTCAGGCAAGTACTTGGATGGGAGACCTCCTTGGAATACCAGAGGTGGGAGGTGGGGACAGGCTCTATTCAGCCACCTCTCTGAATATCCTCCAAACCCCCAGTAGGGGTCAGTCACCAGAGGTCACCATGACTTCCAGGTGCACACACATGTACATATTAAAAATGCCAAAAAGAAAGAGAGATGGCCAGGTACACCTCCCTGGGGAGGTTGTTCTCTCTTGTGTTCCCACCAAATGAGCTTCTCTGATTGATGGGACAGTCAGGAGGGCCTTTCCCTCTGATTTTAAGAGGGAAGATGGTCATTCAATTACCCCAGTTCCAAGCTGTGTAATCAGAGAAGCCTCCATCCAGAAATACTGAAAAGGCTTTTTAGAGGCTACCTCTTGTGATGGGAAGTCTGGTGGGAAGGTCCTCTTGGCATAGTGGCAGTAATTGGAGTTGCTACAAAGCGTTTCTACAAGGCTTTAGCAGGGCTGTGTTCTCTTATGCTGAGTCCGGTGTCAATCATAGTCCTGTCCTAACGAGGTGGAATTGTAGCATTCGTTTTTTTCTTAGAAGCGGACAGTGAATGCTCTTGTTACAGGAGTTGGATTTTTTTCATAGTTCCTAAGAACAACTGGATGTGGTTATGATGGATTTTTAGTTAGTACTTTCTTAGCCTGCCAAATTACAAGCATCACACACCAATCTCTGTGATTATGTGTTTGTAAAAGTGTTTGCATCTGTTAGACCAAAAATGCTAACACATGCATGCTGCAGACACCACATAGACTGTTTTCACTGGCAATAAATATTGGAACAATTTGTGTAATCACACTGTGCTTCTACTGAAATTTGTTTCTCAATCTGAGTTCTTTGCATATTTAGATGATTTATATCTTCTTTTGTTCCTAAAGTCTCCTGCCTTTAGTTATTTTATTGTGGTGGTACTTGTTGGTAAAGGTAAAGGTTCCCTTGCTCGAAAGCCAGTCGAATCCGACTCTAGGGTTGCGGTGCTCATCTCCGTTTCAAAGCCGAAGAGCCAGCGCTGTCCGAAGACGTTTCCGTGGTCATGTAGCCGGCATGACTAAACACCAAGGCGCATGGAACGCTGTTACCTTCCCACTGAAGTGGTCCCTATTTATCTACTTGCAATTTCTTGCTTTCGAACTGCTAGGTTGGCAGGAGCTGGAACTAGAGACGGGAGCTCACTCCGTCATGCGGCACGCTCGGGTCTCGAACTGCTGAACTACTGACCTTCCACAGCCTGTAGTTCAGCGTCTTAACCACTTGAGCCACCGCAGCTCCTTGTTGGTACTGGCACCCAAAAAAACTTGCTCAATTAGGTTAGGAGCTGATGAAATGTAAAGTCTGAAGATTAAAAAAAAACATTAATTGTGTGTTTGTGTGTGAAGTGCCATCAAGTCGCAGCTGACTTATGGCGACCCCCAGCAAGGGGCTCTCAAGGCAAGTGAGAAGGAGAGGTGGTTTGCTATTGTTTTCCTCTGCAGAGTCTTCCTTTGTGGTCTCCCTTCCAAGTACTGGCCCTGCTTAGCTTCCAAGATCTGATAAGATCGGGCTACATACACCATGCTGCCTTCCCTCCCAAACCATTAACTAGACTATAAAATTTTCTCTTTTATAGTAGTGAGTGAATTTAAGCATTTGCAGCCTCCTAGCTTGACAAGTTCCATCCCAAACCTTTTTCTGTCTCCTTTTTTAAAAAAACACCTCTCTTTTAGGTGCGCGCCTTTCAGCATGCTTTCAGCACCAATGATTGCTCTAGGAATGTCTACATTAAGAAGAATGGATTTACTTTGCACAGGAATCCCATTGCTCAGAGTACAGATGGAGCAAGGACCAAGATTGGCTTCAGTGAAGGCCGGCATGCCTGGGAAGTCTGGTGGGAAGGTCCTCTTGGCACAGTGGCAGTAATTGGAATTGCTACAAAGCGAGCCCCCATGCAGTGTCAGGGCTACGTGGCACTCCTGGGCAGTGATGATCAGAGCTGGGGCTGGAATCTGGTGGACAATAACTTGTTACATAATGGAGAAGTCAATGGCAGCTTTCCCCAGTGCAACAATGCTCCAAAGTATCAAGTGAGTGAAACTTAGTGTAGTCTTAAACCTCTGTAGGGCATGTGAATTTTCTGGAAGAATGTATATCTTGTGCATTGCAGGTATCTTTGTTTTCTTCCTTTTGTGAACAATTGGTAATGAAAAGCATAACTGCAAACTGTTTTCTTGTCTTGTCATAAGACAATTACACAGGTAGACAGGGTTTTTTTCTTTGATGATGTACATTTTTGAGGTTGCACCTGACTGTATTCCCTTTCGAACAAATAAGGAGCATCTGGCTCCTTTGACACAGCAGTAATAAAATCATCTATTATTGGTCATGCCTTTCCTACATTTAATGTCAGAAAAAGTTGGGTGCACACGTGCCAGTATACACTCTGTACAGTAAAATGAAGTTAGTTTGTTTTTAATGGTGTCACATACATGCCCTGTAGATTGTCCACTAGAGTGCAGTTATTTATTTATTATTTTAGATTTATATCCTGCCTTGCCTGCGCATGTGGGCTCAAGGCGGCGTACACAGTTAGGTTTATATATATAATGGCCACCATGTATTTTATTTATTTATTTGAAGATTAAAAGAAACCATTAATTGTGTGTGTGTGAAGTGCTGTCAAATCACAACTGACTTATGGTGACCCCAGCAAGGGGCTTTCAAGGCTAGTGAGAAGCAGTGTGTGTGTGTGTAGCCACCATGTGTTTTATTTATTTATCTGAGACACAGTTTGGTGTAGTGGTTAAGAGCAGCGGACTCTACTCTGGAGAACCAGGTTCAATTCCCCACTCCCCCATTTGAACCTAGCTAGGTGACCTTAGGCAAGTCACAGCACTCTCAGCCTAAAAATATGCATAGCTCACCACCTAGTGGTGTCAAAAAAGAGCTACAGCTTTGGCAACCAAACCCTCTGGGATCTCCTGGCTATTCCACACACAATGTCATACGATTTATTTATTTATTTAGGTAATTTTTATGCCACATGCTCAGAGCCCTGCTGAATGCTGCTTCCAAATTAATACCAATATACAAACAAACAGGCTATAACAATAAACCAACATTACAACATAAAACTATCTGTTAAAATGGACTTCAGACCAGAAGCAGATCATAAAACAGGTGGGAACATAAAACCCCTAATTAACAGCCTGGATAAAAATAAATGTTTTGACCTGGCACCTAAAAGACAGCAAGTTAGGCACCAGTTGATCTTCAAGAGGGAGGACATTCCAAAGGCAAAATGCCACCACATAAAATGCCCTGATTATAGTCACTACTCACCTTACCTCTGAGGGCAGGGGCATATGGAACAGCCCTTGGGAGGCAGATTAATGTTTATATATACACACTTACTGTCAAACAACATTACCTTCCCATATAAACCCACTGTTTTTTCTATCCCTAACCGGAGGGGAGGGAAAGA